CTGTCCTTGAACAGGTTTTTCCATATCCCAAGTGCATCAATCGTCTGACTCTCCTACTGACAGATTCTCTCCCCCGGAGGCTTCTTCCTTTCCTTACATCCCATCTGGCTCATCGCCATTGCCCTCTTCTATCACCAACTATATACCAGTCCTACATGGTCGTCGTCGCATCCGCCGACAATCGACTGCTGCTGCAGCCATCGCTGCTGCGACTGCCTCTCCTGGATATAAAAGGACTACTCACGGAGGTAGCACTGATTGTCTTGGCCGCGTGAAGACCCAGCCTACGCCTGGGAATCCAGATTGGTATCCGTTTTCCCTGGCACCTGTCCAACACGCGAACAAATCTGTTGGTGTGCTGGTCGTTTCGGCGGGGCGGAGCTTACCCACTAGCCTAGCTTGTCTTTTCAGTGGCCTATGCCGGGGCAGGGCACGAACTAGAGCTGGCGAGACACTTAAGCAAAGTTCGGCCTTATTGGGTGGCCTTTCGCGACAACATATTGGTAATTAAGTAATATGGCTTTCTTGAATTGTGATATTTTGAATGTAGCTATGAATACTAAGAGTCGTGTGATCCTAGATTTGGCCGCAGTTGCTTTTACATTTATTGACTTGGCATTAACTCGTTTTAGCAACTTGTCCGGGTCGACGATGCGGCCTCGTGGAACGTTCCCACTCCTACACCCTTTTATCATAGGAGTCATGACAGTTTCCAACATCGCACCGTTAACTTGGTACAATCTCACATTTTTCGCTAGCATTGTAGTCGAGATGGTTGGTGAAAGGCACTATTCTTAGCACAGAGTTACATCATTAAGCACAACCACATCAATGAAACGTGGTATTCCGTTGAACACTACTAAGAATGCATCTCTTACTGCATCCCATGCTGATTTTTTCACGTGTTTTTTTGCCAGTGGAACAGTAAAAAGCACATTATCATCTATTTGCTTTAATTGTTTTCAACAGTAACATAAAGGCCAATGCGCCATGGAAGATAATAAACAAATAATGTTGACTGCCATGGAAAGCAGTGGAACAGGAAAAATGACGACACTAACTTCTATGGGACATTTGAAAATACGTCTGGTCATGATTAATCAAAGCAGTTGAAACAATACGAGCGTCGTTCTTACAAGTCCTTCGGCCGCTGCAACATAGAAGAGTGTTTCGAATGCTTTACATATTTCTATACGAATCTTTTTGCATGGCTATCACACTTCTTTACATATGGCCTCCATTCATATTTGAATTGGTGATAACTTTCCTACTCTTTTTGACAAGTCGTGTAGCGCTAATGCTTCATTCAGTAATGAAGGAGTTTTGGGTAAATACAGACGATTTAATTGTTGATACGAAGACCAAGAAATCGAGACCTCTGTTTTTGTCGCAGTCTCTTTTCGCCGTATAAAAGTGGACTGACATCTTTATCGCAACATTGTCAGTTGAACACACATCCGAAGCTTTGTGCTATAGTCGTTATGATATTTCTCAGTGTCGCACTGTGGACTTCGTACATTCCCAGACGTTTCGCCGACATCTTTCTATTCTTAACACAAAGCTGCAACTGACGATAGAGACAATCCCTTGACCAACTTTCTGCTTAACTATTGTGCTATTACTCTTTTTTTTGTATACCTATTTCCTATCCAACTTTCTTCCTATCACAGTTTCTGATTTGTTTGTATTCAACTCCTTCAGGGGTGTTTTCTTTATTTGAGAGTTTAGTGGGGCTTAATCTCAACTGCCTCAACCTTGCATCCCTCAGGAATCGGAAGCTTCGCCAGAATCGCTGATCCAACTTGGACTTCTTTTCCGATTCTAGGGTAGCACGTATTCTTTGGTCTCAGCTAACAGGCCGCCTAGACTATGATTAACATGACCTTCTGTGTCGTCGCAGTCTCATTTAGCTGTGTAGTGTTGGTTCGACCTTGTGGAACGCACCTAGTTCAGTGTCCCCTGCAATAGTATTCGTGATATTCAGCATTGGACCATTGGCTGGGTACATTCCCAAACGTTTCGCCTGCATCATCAAGCATGCGAATGGGAATGGGCATCATCTGCTCTAAATCCTCAAAAATGGCGTAATAAAGAACAAGAATTGAAGGCTCATAGGCAGCCAGAATTCAGACACCCAATGAGGGAATTTTTGGCTTAACGGGTATTAAAAAAGGGGGACGAAATGTAGGTACCGTTGATGGAGATGATTACGCTTTAATAAACCTACTTGTAGCGACGCACTCTTAGTCAGGATTGAAGGAAACGAGGGTACAGAATTGTGTGAATAAGTGGATGGGCCATATGAAGTGGAGTTGAGAGAAAAAGATACGTTACTAGAAAGTAGTTAAAAAGTAGGGGCAAGGAATGATTCCACAACGGTTGGACAGAATTTTGATTAAGGTGATTGCCTTCATTTGTCACTCTGATAAGTTGTAACTCTGCGTTTACGATGGCATTCGTCACTGACGATGCCTGCGAAATGGTTGAGAATGTATCCAGCCAATGGTCCAACGCTGGAAATCGCGAATACTATGTCAGAGAGCCCTGGACTAAGCACGTTTCACAAGGCCTCCTTGACGCCCGTCCAAGTTGCGAAAATGTCGTCAAGCCAACACTGATTCACATGGTTAAGGTCCAGTGTGTTCACTATGTCCAGCTATTTCTGATCCTTCTGATCCATTTCCCTGCGGAGACTTTGCTGCTTCGTGATTCATAACGTGTTTTTTTATAGAAGTTGTTTGACCTTGTTTTCGCAATTCGGTAATATTGGTAGGAAGACTTAGAGGAATGCACCTTGTCCGGAGTCTTTGTATATATCATCATTTCCAGAGTAGGACCGTGGACGTGGTACATTCCCAGACGTTTCGCCGGCATCGTCAGTGAGTCTCGCCATCCGTAGCACCATATAAAAACTCGTTAAAGAGACAAGTGGAGCCCATCCTTTGACCAAACGTGTGCTAAACGGTTGTGTGCCATAATTCCCAGCATCGGACCATGGATTTGGCATATTCTCAGACGCTTTGCCGGCATTATCTGTGAGTCTTGCCATTCTCAGCACTAAGCTACAACTCGTCTAAAAGACAAGTGAAGTCAATCCTTTGACTAGCTTTCTGCTTAAACGGTTGTGCTATCACTTTTCTTTCTAAGCAGAAGTATATCCGTGAAACAGGAAAAAAAATCTGCCTACGAATCAATGAACAGCAAAGACTCTGTAGAAACATGGATATAAAAAGAAGCGAAATAGCGGAACACGTTGCACGAACAAGGCACTAAATCGACTGGAAATCGACCGAAATGTTGGTTGCATATGGTGAAAATATGAGAAAACGAAATATCCAAGAAGACCGAGAGAAATCTAATCAACAGGAGACTTGGAGAAGGCAGGATCGCCTAAAACTTTGCATATTGCAAAGAGACGTCTTCAGTGAGCCTAATCAAAGCAAGTAGAACCATGACAATTGTGGGTTGGCACACAAGAGACTAGGACGTAGGAAGGGATAGACATGGTATTACAGATAAAAATAGGAAAGACGCGGTGGAGACTAGAGCTATTTGGCTAACAATTGACGTGTTTGATCATAGACGTGATCCTTGAATCACGACTGTTGTTAGCCAACTAGCTCTAGCTTC